TGCCAGCCTCGTAGGGCGCTTGAATTCATGGAGTCTGGGAACCAGTGAAAGAAGCTCATCGAAGCAATTACCATGAAAGTATTTGTATTATTTATTCATATTGTTATTTCACAGATATATTTTTAATTATATACGAAATTTTGCACACACACACACACATATATAGGTATAAATGTGGATATAAACCAAATAATTAGATGTCAGCAAATGTATATACGTGTATACACAAGTAAGAGAATAAATCTTTATATTTACTTAATTTAATATAAGGTGTAAACGAAACAGTACTCAGTGTGATTAGACTGAGGTAAGAAGTATATATTAATACGATTACCTACGTTCGAAGTGAAACTTAAAGTTTCGTGGTTTTACCAACTTATCAGGCACAAACTATTACAGCAATAGTTTGTGCCTGATGAGTTGGTAAATCCATGAAACATAATTTGCACTTCGAACGTAGGTATATATATATATAGGATCCAGTCCAATGCTTTCTGCATTCTGTTGAGGATTATTCTAGACTCGATAAATTAATTATTATATATATATATACAATAATTAGTTCATCGAGTCTAGAATAATCCTCAACAGAATGCAGAAAGCACTGGACGGCTGTTCCGTTCAATTTTTGGGATTCATCAGCAGTACGCATCCACTACCGAGAATCGAACCCGGACCGTTACGATATGACGCAAGCGTCATAACCACTGAACTAACATGTCTTGGTGACGGAAAGGTAACAAACCAGACTCGATATAGATCCAACTTGGACAACTGCTTTTGGGAATGAGTACTATCGTGTGTTGAAACAAAAATTGAGCTTTTTGGACATAATGATGTACAGAAGATTTGGTACAAGAAAGTTGAGGCTTTCATTCCAAAAGAACACAGTGGCAACATTAAAACATGGAAGCGACTCGATGATGTTTAGGGTTTCTTTTAGCTCAAGAGGAACTGGACGATTATTTGCAATAAGAAGAATAATGCAATCTGCAGACTATATCAAAATTCTGGATGAAAATCTACAACTATCAGTGCAAAATCTTCATCTAGGTCGGCGACTTACTTTCCTACAAGTGACTGCGTGGCTTCAGAAAAAGAAAATTACAGTTCTGCCATGGCTTTCATTGAGTCCTGACTTAAATCCTACTGAAAATCTATGGCAAGAATTGAAAGTTCGAATAAATCGTCGGTCACCAGAATACCTCCAGGAATTAGAACGTGTGACCACTGAAGAATGGAAGAAAAACCAAGAAAAGACTTATTCAAATCTTATCAAAAACTTTAGAAAATGATTGAAGCAAGTTATAAAGATGAGAGGCCATGCTACTGATTATTAATATTGCGAAAATTATTCAATTTTTTCTATTTTTCATATTGTACGAATAGTTTTGTTTTTTAGTATTTTGCATAATTCGTCAGTCAAATTTGTTGCATTTAACCTATTGTTCTGAAAATTGAGTTTTATATTCTTTTTTGTGTTTATTAACATATAAAAAAACCTGGCATCATATGGGCATTAGATTCTTAAAAATGGGTAAAAATATTCAAAATTGATGAGTGGAAGAATTTTTTTTTTTTTGACGGTATATACGATTTCAGAAATTTCGTGTTGAGGTGACATTTTTAAAAGATAACCTGAGTTAAACCATTCTTCTTTATTTTTTAACAAAAGTTCATTGAATTATGATGCAATAAATCGATTCTCTAAAAAGTTAAAAGTCATAACCCTAATATACAATATCTGGCTCAGGTCTAAAGACAAGCTAAAGAGTAACCTCTCAGCTACCAATGTCCCTCATACTAACTTCAAGGAAGCTGACTTAAATGAAATAACTGGAGATATTTGTGAAAGTGTAGTATCAGAAATTAGTCGTATTGACCAGCTAAGAGATGAAAGACAATGGCGAAAAGCGTCAACAAATATTCCTGTTGCTCTGCCCCAAGATCCTCGCTATTGCACAATATGTGAACTTGTATAGAGGTCACCAGAGAGCCTGAAGTTTCACATACGATACAAACATAAATCCTGAATGAGTATATATATATATATGAATGATATATATATATATATATATATATATATATATATATATATATATATATATATATATATATATATATATATATATATATATATATATATATATATATATATATATATATATATATATATATTAAAATAATAAGAGCAAGATTTATAATCCGGTGTTCTTAGCAATTATTTTTATTTTTATTAAAAAAAAAAAAAAAAATAAACAGGGTTCGATACAAACAGTAGAGCATAATAATATTATAATTATTTTCTTTTTTTAAAAAAATATGATTCCATCGTGACACAGAAATTTCTGTTTCAAAACTGAAACTAAAATTGTAAATTTAATTATAAAAATTAAACTTAAAATCCAGAGTTTTGATCCATTGTCAAGCGATGCAGGAATAACTTTCTAAGAAATTTACTTAATTTATAAGTGCAGATAATCTTAATATTCTGAGTTATTAAGGCTAAGAAAAATTCAATCTATTTTGATTAGAGGTGGTTGGGTTTTAATTTCCATAGACAACTTATGTATAAAAATATATGTTACTTGCAAAGTTAGGTTAAGCTTAAGTGAGGTGGCGGGGGGATGCCAGTTCAGAAACAATGACAAAAAATGTTGGTATTTTTATTTATCCGCTTAATTCATATTTTCTAAAAGGGTCATCTAAATATGTGTAAGTCATATTTTTAATATTTAAATTTTATTTCTATAGATTTAAAGTACCATTCTTCCTTCTAATAACGAATAGACTATACAGTATTTTTACAAATAAATATATTAGAATTTAATTTCGTATTTAAAAAAAATTATTAATTAATGATCAGGTATAGATATGTATGTTTCCTTTCTCTTCTTTATTTATTTTTTGCCAAAATTAATTATTATTCAAGGAAAATATTTCACAATCCTTACAAAAAATAGCTAGTACATTTGTTTCATTTAGCAAATTTTTATTTTTCAGTAACTTAATAATGTATAATTTTTCATGTATACACAAAGGACATGGGACATTTAATGACCTACAAGTTCTAGCTTTTTCTTATTAATTTCCATTTTACTGTTGGTATTTTATTGGTTTCTTTTAAGTGCCAGAAATATTTAAAATAAAACTTTTGATTTCGGTATTTACTTGAGTGTAAAGGCCGGTAGACAAAATAAATTACTATTTAAAATATACGCAACGTCTATGTTCAATGTAATACATACATATATATATATATATATATATATATATATATATATATATATATATATATATATATATATGAAGGAAACAGAAGCAACAATTCACTCACAATATACAACTATAACCGAAAAAAAAAAAAGAAAACAAGAAAAGTCGAAATCTCCTTTGAGCAACACCAGCCTCCATAAACATTGACAGAATGTTGTTATAAGAGCGATATTGACACAAAACGAGACGGAAGAGGGCAAGGAAGAGGCCGAGGAGTGGACAAAAAGACAGGTGCAAGGTGAAACAATGTAGAAGGCGTCGACAAGAGATTTTAGGCAGATGCGCTAAAGGATAAAGAGGGATTCGATAACGGGGTTAGTCGAAAAGAAAAGGAGGCTTTTCAGGCGATTGTGGTAGCCAGGATAAGGAGTAAGTGTAGAGGCGTCGTGTATGCAAAGATATTGTCAAGATGTGAAGATACAGACTGGAAGGTGGATGTGAATGAAATATTGATTGATTGTTGTAACATAGGAAAAGAAATGTTAACTAATATATAAGTATTCACAAGACATACAAGATAGTGATTTTCAAAGCGCTGCTTAGATGTGGCACAAGGCCGAAAGTATTCCGCACCGAGTGAGGAAAAATGATTTTCTAAGCGTAGCTTAGATGTGGCACAAGGCTGAAAGTATGGAGCACCCAGTGAGGAAAAATGATTTTCTAAGCGTATCTGAGATGTGGCACAAGGCCGAAAGTATGAGGCACCAGTGAGAATCGAACTCACAACTCAGTCGTAATTGACTAGACATACAAGATATATACTGTAGATGACCGCTGCGACTCGATTTCGAGAAATGACATCGCTTGATCCCTCCTCAATCAGGTTGCAGTGCGAATGTATTTTCTTTTAATCCTGCTATGGTTTTACATTCTCTTGGGTAGGTGAAGCGTTTTTTATTTATTTGTTTCTTTTTTTTCCTTTTTTTTTTTTTTTGCTATAGTTGCTATATATTATATACCCTACCTTGTGGGAAGGGGATATTGGTTGACGAAGTCGATTCCACAACAAAGCTGCATTCTCTCTCGGCCGTCTTCTACGGTTCGGGTGTTGAAATTGTTTGGAGTCCGTAGATGAGACAACCAGAAAGGGAATTCTTTAACGCGTAAAACTTAACTCCTAAACACTTTCTATTTCTCTAATATTCCCATGTTCGGCTCAGCCAATCAAAATTGACCCCCCTATTTTGTCTACCATCTGAACTTAAGCCTTTGAGCCCTGACCACCGCTTTACTGGTGGTAGAGATAAATGAAATAATGCCCAGCAACCGGTTGAACAGTGGTAGAGAAAATTTATTTAATGCCCAGCTTGAACGATGGATAAACACTTGTAATTATTTTTATATCTACCGTGAAACATTACATACCAATTATTTACGAATTTTGTCTCAGGAGCTCAGACAGAAGGATTCAAATTGTCCAGGAACGCAGGGCTTAAAGGGTTAAGGCCAGCCTCAGAACGTCTGAGCCAAATACACTGCCACGAAAAATAATAGACTATAATAAATAATAAACTCTTATTTAACGTTTCTTACTTAACTATAAAACATCATTTATGAATTTTATTTCAACTACATTATATTTAACATATATAAATGCCGCATAACATGTAATTAATGACTTCACTCTTTAATGAGTGTTTAGGCCTGTCCCACTTAGACACGACCACATTCATTACTCGTTAGATCAAATTCTGAGACAATATTTTCTAGGAAATTAACATCAATTAATCAACATAGATAGATAGATAGATAGATAGATAGATTGTGTCAATTATTGGCGAAAACATGTTTAGCGAGCTATAAATGCAAGATGGGCTAATATAATGTTACGTGGCATTCATTTCTCTTAAAGAAGTATCGAGAGCATTAACACAGCAATTTCCAACCTGGCGCAGGAAATGAAAAGGCCTCAGAAACGCCGAACCAGTTTCTTGAAAGTGACAAAGTAAACAGGAACGGCAAATGCTTCTACCGGTACCCACCAAATTCATGCGTCAGTGTTTTTTTTTTAATTATCACGCCTCCTCTTTTGTCAGAAGGTGATTTTGATATTGTTTCCTGAGCATTTATGACTTATGGCCACATCACATTGAAACACAGGTTCCTGTACGATCACGAAATTAAGCAATGTCGAATCTAGACAGTAACTAGATGGGTGACCGCTTGGGAATACCACATGCTGTAGACTTTGATGTGCGAGTTGTGTAATGGATAATAGCTGGGAATTTTTAATCGGAGAGCCGAGTTCCGATTTCAGCAGGGTTCGTTATATCCCCTTACGAAACAAATTCTCTTGGGAAAGGTGCGAATTCAACTGTTCTCCCTCCAACTACGGGTTAATTAGTAAGACATTTATCACTGAACCTGTATCTCTAAAACAACATTGTCATTATCATTAGCCCCATAACTGGGCGTGAACATAGGGTCGCTGCAACAGCTGAACGCCGAACCACCTGTCTCTATGTGCCTCGGTTGCGTGACAAGGAGTCTGGAAATGATCTTCCAGTCTTCTCAGTCAGTCCATTTTTTGTTTTGTTGTTGTTCTTGTTGTTGTTGTTGTTTCTTTGGCAGTCCATTTGTTTTTATTTTGCTCAGTTCATTTTTCCTCTGTCTACGTCTTTTTCTTTTGACTGAGGTCAAACCTTATTGGAAGGCAGTAGAAAGTTTACTGACTCTTATGACGTGACCATATCATTTCAAATTGTTTACTATCTCACTTTGCATACTACTGCACAATTCTGCTTCCTCTGTTAATGATATCACACGATGATTATTCATTAAGATACATGTAAATAATGAGGAAATAATCCTTGGAGAAGTTGACACTCACGGTGCATACTGAAGGCGAGATGGGTAGATTGATTGATTGATTGATTCGTTTTTTACGGTTTATCAACTCTTTGCAGGTTATTTAAAGCCAGAAAATACATTTAGATTGTAAGAATGTTTTTAAAAATAATAATGATTTAGTATTACTAATTAACCCATATCTGGGAGAAAAATCTTACTAATTAACCAATAGCTGGGGAAGAAGAGATGGATTCATATCTTACCCAAGAGTACTTGCGCGTAAATGAATATAACGAATTCAACAGGATTAACAACTATGAGCCATTATCAGTTGCACTATTCGCGCATCCATGCACCTGATATTCTCAAGCGGTTACCCATCTAAGTACTGACCAGGCTCGACATTCCTTAACTTCGGTAATCTTACGGGAACCTGTATTTCAATGTGATGTAGCAGTAAGCCGCAAGATGTCTAGAGTGAAACAACGAATAACATATCTAACGGGCGTGTGTAAATGGCTGGCAGAACAAGGACATTCTAGATAGAACGCTTTCTCCTATAAACTGTAACTAAGGTCTGCTCAGCATAGTTGCAGTATAAACCACAGATTGGCTTTGTGGGTGTTGAACAAACACAAATGTGCCTGAGCGAGAGTCTGTGATAGGGATTGGCTAACCACCCTAGTTGATGGGTATCCTCAATTACGAGTAGCGAGATATTATATATATATATATATATATATATATATATATATATATATATATATATATATATATTATGTTAGCTCTATCTCTGATATTGAGCGCTTTTCTAATAAGTACCGCATATAATATATAAATAATTATACATATATATATTTATTTATATTTATATACACTTTTCACACACACACACACACACACACACACACACACATATATATATATATATATATATAATTTATTTGTTTGAACGTTATTTTATTTTAATTTTTTTTTTAAATGGATATTCATATAGAGTAGAAGTTCTTTATTTATTTATTTATTTATTCATTTATTTATTTATTAAACAGTATATTTATTTATTAACATCTACCGGCCTGAATATTCGAGAAATCTTGTGAGAAAAATATGCGCCCTCTGGCAGGTGCCTATTTTTCAAGAAGTCCTGCGTACCCGCCAAGTGCTCTAAGGCACGTCAGATCTCGTGACGGTTTAACTAAGGCTTATATCATGTGGAAGGACGCATATTTTTCTAACAAGATTTCTCGAATATTCACGCTGGTTGAGGTAAATAAATAAATATATAATATACTATTTAAAAATAAATAAAAAACAGTCCATCCACTAAAATATGAGTATCTATTTAAAAAATGTATTCTCTAATATATATATATATATATATATATATATATATATATATATATATAATAGCTGAGGATACCCTTCAACTAGGGCGGTATATATATGATATATATATATATATATATATATATATATATATATATATATATATATATATATATATATTCGTGTGTGTGTGTGTATGTGGAGATGATTGGAAAAAGTGGAAAAGCTATAAACGACGCGTTTCGCCGACGTCTGTTGGGTTCTGCTTCTTCAGCTGAGGATGAAAAACAAAATTGTATGTAAGGAAAATGCGTTGTGATGTAGGAGGATAAAAAAGCCATAAATTAAAATACCTTATCGAATCCGACGAAATTTAATTTATGGCATGTTTGGGGGAAAGTCCGTGATTTATATATATATATATATATATATATATATATAGATAGATAGATAGATAGATAGATAGATAGATATATCATGTTTTATTTATATATAAACTAACAGTATGTAGAAAAATATGACAAACTGGAAAGTTTTGTGACGCGTTTCATTCGATGAAATCCTAACGGATGAAACGCACAACAAAAAAAGGTTTCAGGTTGTCATATTTTCTTATATATATATATATATATATATATATATATATATATATATATATATATATATATATATATATATATAAAGGCTTCAACCACTTATATTGAGAATTATAATAATAATTAATAATAGGGAATGTATTTAGCGATGCCTATATGCTGTTAGTGTGAAAGCACCTTCATCTGTTAGTGGGCAGGACCTGTTTAGTAGTGGATTCGTGTATCATTGAGTGACGCATACGAGTACAGGACGAGTGTCCATATATTACTACTTGCACTAGGGCATGTCGGCGTGGTGTTATGGTTGGCAAGCTTGTCTCGCTAAAACATTTACGACTGAATAGTGAGTTCGTTCCTCACAGGGTGACCCATACTTTCGATCTTGTGCCGCATCTAAATTACGCTTGGAAAATCACTATTATTACGAGTGACACATAAATTAGGTAGATTTTAATAATGGTAAATAACATTTTTTATGCACGGCTTCCTTGAGACATGAAAACTATTTCAACGATTCCATAAGGCTGAAAGTGCTGAGAATAGGGGCATAGTCATTTTGGAAGAGAATTATAAGTAGAAAAATAGAAAATACCCCCACATAATTTTCCCCGGAGATTCTAGATACTTTAAGATTTATAGCTAAAAATTCCTTGAATTCTAATACTTTTTAAAATTAGATTAGAACTAGTCTTACTTTTTGACTGGACTTATATATATATATATATATATATATATATATATATATATATATATATATATATATATATATATCGTTATATATATATATATATATATATTTATATATATATATATTTATATATTTATATATATATATAACGATATATATATATATATATATATATATCATATATATATATATATATATATATATATATATATATATATATATATATATATATATATATATATATGTGTGTGTGTGTGTGTGTGTGAAAAAGTCAGACTAGTTCTAAGAATGGTTTCAAGGAAAATACAAAAACTCCTGAGAGAATATTTTCCCAATCACTACCTCTTCGTCTAAGGTTAAACGTTACCTTTCCTGCATAACTTATGAACGGGACGCCTTTTCTTACGCATACGCATCAGTGCTGCCGTAAGTATTTTGGGGGCCTTGACTTGGGTAAACATCAGTATATTTAAAAAAACTTCCATCAGATCATATGCGTGTGTGTGTTTACGCAACCGGACACATATGTTTAAATGTGTATAAGCAATCTTTCCGAATTTACAAGCATAAAAGGTGTCAGTTACAAATATTTAATCTTGATTATTGCTTACTGTAAAATTTCGTATTTGACACTATGATTCGTGTCTTGAATCACCGAATCCGCTTGATCACACGTATAAACAATGAGATAAGGCGTCATTTAACGCCACCGGTATAGAATTTGATACGCTCACGTTTAAAAATATAAATGATATTGAATAGACGGCTTGGTTTGAATTCCGATGACTGCTTCAAATCTCTCTAAGAACGGAATTATTTGCAAGGAGGCAGAAGATATTATTTGGCGACGAAGAAGAAGGAGACAAATGAAAAATGAGAGGTAAACAGTTGAGATTTGTACATGCACAACGGGCAGAAAAAAAAAAGAGACAGGGAAAATATGTCTTTCCAATACTGGACTGGGACAGAATCAAATGACAGAATGAAAAATCACTTGCGTGGGTTACCCGAGAGGCTAACCGTCGGATGTAAAATAACCGGGAGAGAAATAGATATTTACAAAAATTCACTTAGACATACAGAATGCCATGTTTATAGAAAAAGTCATGAAAATATCAAATAGCTGATTAGAGGGGTTATATATATATATATATATATATATATATATATATATATATATATATATGTGTGTGTGTGTGTGTGTGTGTGTGTGTGTGTGTGTGTGTGTAAATAGAGAGAAAGAAAGAATCTGATTGAGATAGCGATAAAAAAATTGAGATAAGTAAAGAAATGATAGCTAGATAGATGCGAACTAGCCCATATAGATAGATAGATAGATAGATAGATACGAACAAACAAGAGAATATATTAACAGGCTGAGATAGATAAGGAGATAGGTACAACGTTTTTTTTCTGAATCTTCTCGGAAATGCATATGAGAGAAAGTCAGCGCTGAATCTTAGTCTGACATTAACACTAAATAATGTTCAATTTAATTTGATTAACATTCACCACTGAATTATTCGCCTTGACATGGAAACATATTTTATTGAAAGAATAAATATTTGCTGGGTAATTAAATTTTTCATTATTAGGTTACGACTTATTGATCTGTCTCTGTAGAAAAAAAGAGGAGAGAAAATGTATTCCCATGTCAACGGATTTTATTTCAATCTATACAGCAAAGAAGTTATGAGATAAGTATAAGTCTTATTAGGATTCTTTATTTGCAGCCTCTATCTTAACAATATAAAACATGCAGATGACACAGTGTTGATATCAGACACGGAAAGGAAACCACAAATGCTCCTACAGAAGGTAGCTAGCGAAGAAAAGCGAGAAGAAAGGAACTACAAAAAGACAGTATACATGGTTATCAGTAAAAGGATGAGGTAAAAATGCAAATTACAAATCGGTTATACTAAAATTAAATAAGTACAAAAGATCTAATAACTGGTAAGTGTTCAGAAGACAGAAAGTGCGACAATAAAATCCTGGGACGTATTGTGACGGACAAAGGTGACTTCCGAAAGCCAATGCGAACATTAAGAGAGAAAAATTTCGAGAGAAACAAAGAAACGAGTACTGAATTGTTACGTGATATCTCTCCTCCTATATGGCAGCGAATTCTGGACAATCTCTTAAAGATGAGAAGAGACGTCAAACAAAAGAAATATGGTTCGACAGAAAGATGCTGAGGTTACCATTAACCGAACACGTGAGCAATAAAAAAAAAAACTAAGATAGATAAAGAAAGAAAGAAATGATAGATAGATAGATAGATAGATAGATAGATAGATAGATAGATATGTGTTATGGTGAAACACACCTATTCTATAGTAATAGACTCTCCCACCTATAATAAGTAGGAGTAGTAAGAGTAACGAGTCAGTCGGTCGGTCAGTCTGTGAGTCGATGTCGGACGACAGTTAGTCGAATCCGAAAGTATCAGCGACCACAACTAGATTACTCTTCGTAATACCTATTATATCAAGTTCCTAACGTTTTGTACAAATAGAATCCTCCACTGCGAAATAACTCCACAACAATATGAACAAGCCCAGATTTTAGACTTAACATCAGGAAGAGACAGTTGAATTTTTTGGAGCACGTAATGAGGAAGGAGGGCTTGGAAAATTTGATACTCACAGGACAGATTAAGGTAAAAAGGGACAGAGGAAAGCAGTTGTAGCATATTTGATAAGCTTGAGTAAATGGATGTATAGCGTTTGGAAGAAATAACAAAAAGACAAAACTTATTAAGAACTACAAGGGAGAGGAAGATGTGGAGAGCTATGATCGCCTACGCCCTGAATGGACACGGCACATAAATTAAGATAAAATTATTGCCCGATAGTTTCATGTTTTAATAAGAAGCATGTTTAAAGATTATATACCTTTTGAGATTTCTTTCCTCTCTCCTTTCCTGGTATTTATCTTCAGCCCTTTGGAATGAACCGAAAGAAAGAAATAATAATAATAATAATAATGATAATAATAATAATAACTTGCTTATCAGTTTACAACAGCTTCACTCCAGCTTAAAATTCTACAATCTTTTTCTATTGCAACTTTTCGCATTGTAACCCTAGCTGCATAACTCTGATTACACTTCTCACTTGCTGTCTCCTGTTGGCACTGAAAACTTGAAAAGATTATAGAAACGAACAAAGTGTTGACGAAGCAAAAAATAGTGCTAGGAAGCGCTTGAAGAAAAGGTTCTTCGGTGCACCAATCAAGGGTTTCTAACGAATTTGCAACAGCTAGCAAACTAGTATTGCAGAGTCATTACTCGTAATTTTGGTCCCGCTGCGTGCCACATTGGGCTAGGCGTTTGATGACTAGATTGGGTGACTGCCGTAGAACGGTATTTGAGAACGAGTCTAACACAGCATTGTAAGTCTAGTAAGTCAGTATTTTGTCTCAACTATGATCTTGTGCCAGACAAGTGTAAATATTATCCCTCTAATAAATAAATAATAATAATAACACACGGACACACGCACACTACATACATACACAAATACATACGCACATAATCATGTATAATCTATATATATAAAACAGAGGATATCTGTGAGTCTGTGTGTCTGTCTGATACCTATTCAATAGAGACCATCCAAATGATTTTGACCAAACTTGGCACATACATTTTACAATGCAAGAGATAGGGTCTTAGCATAAAAAATCGATAATTTTTAAAAAGTCAATATTCGAAAAAGCCGATCAAAAATCGATAAATTCAACTTTTTTTCCTCCGATTTCGTTCAAATTCGGTATGTAGGTTACTTACGTCATGACGAAATCAACGATACTTCATTTTTATTTCTACGCTACTGCGTTTAGCGAAAAACCGTGAAAAACGAAAAATTGTTTTTAACACAATTCGATTTCAAAACAAATTTTAAACAAAAAAGTCTCTCAACTTTCAAGTAATCTAAACAAACTTCACACAATTGTAGTTTACAATAAGGTGATTTTTTAACATTCATTTAACTTGATAATTGAGTCAACCCATATAGTGAAAACCAACGTAAATAGCGAAAAATGGCGATTTTTACTGGTTTCTTTCTTATTTTTCGTTGATCTTTCAACCAATTTTCATCAAACTTAGCAATTACTTTATAAATGTATGCTCTTTTACATCCCTGACAAATTGAATTTCAAAAACTCCAATATAATTCTGGTCTGAAGTGGGTCTCCATGTTGCCTGTTTTACCACTTCATGTCCTCAGTTAACTTCGAATGAATAAATACAGATTACTTCTCTTATATTAGTATCACTTTTTCTGATCGGCCAGCTTGGTATGTCTGCTAGTAAATAAATAAAAATGTTAGTCTTATCTCCCAACTCAATTTCGCAGTGGTAAATCCGCGCATCAGGCGTAAGGCAAATGGGCAAACTTGGAAATCGTGCCCGCAAAATAACGGAGTATCAAAAGAACTGTTTTTCCATTGACACCGCTATTATTTTAACTACCTTCACTCCTCGGCAATATTTATTGTTTAAAACGACATGATTAGAATGAGAAGATAAGACAATAAATTTACACATTTTAATTGTTCTTGAGAATTGATAACAAAAATAATGAACACTATTTATTTATTTACATCCATATATATATATATATATATATATATATATATAGATAGATAGATAGATAGATAGATAGATAGATAGATATGAAGGAAACAGAAGCAACAATGTATCGGCACAGGTCGCAACCCAAATTAAAGATTTCCCCCTCTTTAAAATGGAAAATGTTAATCCCATTCGGCCGATTTTCCATCACCATTATTCTCTTGCGGACAGATTTATTTTTTTCTCCAGTGACAGTGGAGACTTCTGGGGTTATTGTCCCTCGTTCGATGGCGTTCCTTCGGAAAGTTGGCGGGATTCCGTTTCGATTAAGGGACGAGCCTCGCGAAAAAGAGTGGATCTTACAGCGTCACTCTCAGTTACATTTTGTTCGTTCATAATGTGGTGGTTGATGTGTTCACGGATTTCGACAGATGACAGGTTAGTATGCGAGAGAGTGTGGTACATGTGTGCTCAGTGTAAGTATTTAACGCTTTTTGATTATTAGTTTTGGAGATGCGATCTTCCAGGCGAGACAACATATTTTTTACACAAGGGGAGATTTATTTAATAATGTTGGTAATAATTTAGATGTTTTAAAGTTTTTATAGCAGATGTTAAATCTTAGGTGTTTGTTAGGATCATTATGTACCGGCGTATTATGTTTGTAATTACTTTTTCTTCCTGTTTAAAATTAGGATGCATTTGGTTACGATAGAATAAGTTAATGGTATGTTTATTTTTGTCTATATTTCTGAGATGAGGTATTATGTACATTATTTACATTATTCGGACTATTGTCCCCATCTTTGTCGCCATATTTATTACAACGGCCATCCAGGTGGTTGGAATGTCGAACTTAATCCTTTATTTCGCTCCCTGGGGTAGACTGTTCTAGTTCCACGTGCCATGTTTGATGGATGTCAGTTATCCTGTTAATTTCCCTCTGAAAGTTCTCCCCTGCCTTAACTGGGTATTGAACTCGCACTCTTTGGGTCCTGTCACTGGATCTAACCAACGCCTTTATCCACTGTGCCATGTGTCCTTGAGTATTATAAACCTAATGTCTTCCGCAACCATTTTTACCAGCGCTCATATTTCAATTTTTTGCTGTTATCATTGCATGTTTTTACCAGAGCTCATATTGCAACTTTTGTTGTTATCGCTTTTCTCTGGCACTCCTTATTACTGTTTCCCATATTGTATTTATTTCTATGCTTGATCGGCTCAGGGGATTTTTGTGGCCTAGCATATGTGCTGATTCCTTAAGTTTACGAATTTTCTAATGGTGTTCCTTGTCTATGATCTCAACCTAATCCCACAGAGGGCGGTGATCTCCCTTCTCTCTCCATATGTGGTCAGCCACAACTGATTTTTCCACTTCCCCTCGTGTTACAGCTTTCTGGTGTCCTTGAAGCCTTACCTTGAGGGGGGCGGCCTGTCTCTCCTTTATATTTCTTTCCGCACCTGCATGGGATAGCGTACACATAGTCTTTAGTCATGTTCTCTTCTATGTGGGGGGTACTCGGGACAGATATCTGCGAAGTGTCGTCAAGCTTTTGAAGGTTGTCCTGATGTTATATCAACCGCAGATCCTTTGTATTTTCTCTGATAACCCCTTCACATAAGGCAGGCAGAATGTTATCTGAGTGTTGTTGTCCTCCTCTTATACCCGCTTATCCCAGTTTTTGGGGGCTGCAGCCATGTACCCAGGGTAGTTGTTACGTTGTAGGATACTATTTATACTGACCAATTCTTTATCTAATATCTCTGGTGGGAGTTGAAATTGAGATACTGTCCGGTGAATGTTCGTTTACGGCATACGGATGTCTTGAACCCATGCTCTGTTCGAGATATTAGAACATCCAGGAATAGGAGTGTGTTGTTACTCTCTTTTTCCATCGTGAACTGTATCGAAGGTCTTATTGAATTCACATGGTCCAGTAGAACCTGAAGATCTTCCTGGTGTTGCGAGATTATGAAGGTGTCATCTACGTGCCTTAACTATATAGATGGCTTTAAAGATATAGATTCTAATGCCATTTCCTCAAAGTATTCCATGTATATATTCGCCATTGTTGGTGATAATGGAGAGCCCATTGCCAAGCCCTCATCCTGTTGATATATGTGTGATCCCATTCTGAAGTGTTTTGTTTTTTGTACAGAAATTCAACATCTCCATCATATTATCTATTGGAATACTGGTCCGTTCTTCTAGGGATGAGTCAGAGGTCAATCTATCTCTGACTACTGAGAGTGCCTCCTCCGTGGGTACCTTGATGAACAAACTCACCACGTCCAAGCCCACCATCTGGTTGGATAGGATGGGAGCATCTTTGATTATTTCCACGAAGTCGGGGAGTTTCGGACATATGAAGAAGACTTTCCGATCAATGGGTCAATTATATCTACAAGGAAGCGACTCAGAGGGTGGCACACAGAGCTTTTGGCAACTAACAATCGGCCGGAGCGGAATACCGTCTTTGTGAATCTTAGGGAGACCGTTTATGTGAGGTAGCTTGGTGTAACGCTGCGATAACTGCTTATACGTCTTAGGTGCGAAGTGATCCTTGTTCTTGATTAGTATCTGCGACATTTGGAGTTCCGTTTTCATTGTCGGATCCCTTTTTTACTTTGCTGTAGCTACCATTGCTAATGAGGTCTTCTGACAAAGGCAATGCGACTGTAGTGATGGACAAATCAGATTATACAAAAAAGCTAGAAGACCTTAGCAATGGTAGCTACAGCAA